TAACTAACTAACTAACTAACTAACTAACTAACTAACTAAAATTATGTTTGAAACAGTAATTTTCACAAACTTCAACACCTAAAAGCCTAAATACCTTTTGGTTTCCCGGGGGCTGTAACAGTGGATTGAAGTTTGTTGTTTTCAAACAATTTGACATGAAATAAATAAAATAGCTGTTTGAACTGCAGCACAACTTATAAAATGATATAAAATCAAATGTATCTTAGAAACGTACAACCAAATATATTTTCCTATAAAAATCCTTTTGAAGTGGGGTTTTGTGAAGCGATTGTGAACATCTAATGTCTTACCTGTTGCAAACAATTGGAATTGGACTAGCTGTTAGCTTGTCATTCTAGACAGAATTTAAATATTTGTTCAAACTGAGGCCTTCAAAGAGCTATCTGTAACAGGTATGATAATAATTGCTCATAACCTTTTCGGAAAGCTTCACAAGTACTGCACTATTGATCTAAGATAGTGAACACAGCTCAACCTGAATCTAGAAAAGAACAACCMTACATATAAATTTAGCAGAAAAAGTAAAGAAATTAGTCCTTTGTAGAAGGTTTCTTTGTTGTAGTAATGCTTGTTGGTAATGAATCTAAAATAGCTTACAAGTAATATTAATTTCCCTTTTAAATAATGCCACATTTGTAAGGAACATGCATTGTGGGCAGTAGAGCTGAGAATGTGGGTTGTGCACATGAAAAAAAAAAGCCACGTTATCGCTGTCAAACTGTTTATTTTGCTGTTGTTGACACTTGAAGCATTGTTACGACCAAGAAATAAGCTATCAAACACTCATTTGGTTTTTGTGCCAAGTACACGTGTACCTAGAATAACTTTAATTATCTGTGAAGATGTTCTTATTAGTCTTGAAGCACAAACTTTAGATAAAAAAATGAATTGAGACAAATGAGGTGGAACAAAACGAAAAGTTAGCAGAGGTTAATGTTCCTTAATAACCCCACAAAATACTGAAATGAGAAAATCCTTGGGGTAAACAGTAAATATGCAAATGAAACAAAAGGAGTTTCATTCATGGTTTGGCTGCCCTCTCTTCTTATGTAAGTGAAAACCGGACAATTTCTGGAATAAAATCTGTCCCCCGTCTCCTGCCCTTTCAGTGATCTGATGTGACGGAGTGGAGTTCAGAGGGAAGGGCAATAACTGAGAGCGCAGCCAAGACAGAGTGGAGCTGATGTTTCTGAATCACTGGGTCAGTGGGTCACAGACATCACTGGACATCTAGAAATCCAGCCACTCTTTCCATGCCTCTCAGAGCTCCCGAGGAATTGCCCGTGATTTCCAAAACGCAGCTGCACGAAACACAAACGAAACCCCCCACAGACGCGCACTCAGAGCCACAGAGTGCTGATACAGGAGCAAGAGCCCCCCTTCTGAGAGTTGCACATGTAGAGCACAGACCCTCTGATGCACACAGGAGCACCTAGAGACCGAGGCTGTTTAAACTCTATTAGGAGCACAGACTCCCTAATTAAACCAACATTGTAATTAGGATTTGGACAGTCAAATCAGGAGGGATAATGACATTCATTCATCCAACAAAGAGCATGGATTTCAAATAAGTCATATCCAGTGTTTGACGAGTGAAACACCTTGCCTGTCAGTACTTAGTGGTACAAAAAACACGAGTGTCCTTTACAGTAACAACCTGATTTATGAGTTTTCAAAGTAAAGTTCAGCAGCAAAACACGTAAAAGTTCACACACCTCAATAATATGTTTTGGTAGAAAGAGGCTTACAGTACTTGAGTCGGTGTTACTAACTTCAACTGCTGGTTTTGGTTCAGGGGGCAGTGGAGTAAATGCTGCAGGTGGCTGATGGGAACGTTTCGTTGTATCAACTTTACCATCCTTGAAGAAACAGCGATGATAGAGAGGCAGTCTTTCACACAATAGTAACTCTATAAAAGAACAATAGTGTTTAAACAGCTGCCAAGAGCTAAAAAAGAACCCGGGCAGGAAACTCAATAAAACTGATTTCTCATATTTATTCCGCCTGATTTATTTATGAGTCATTTATTACCAACAATGTTCTAAAACAGAAAATGGGGGGAAGACCTTTTATTTATAAATTGATGACTGTTAGAAATGGGGAGGTATTAGCAATCAAAATTAAATACAAGCAATTAAAATTGATTCACTAAGAACATTTTTATTTGTTCACACGTTTTCTGTTAAGAAAAATGTTAGAAAAACAATCTTTTTTGGATATTTGTAAAAGGAGCATCACAATTACATAAAATTAAAAATTTACACCGTGTTACATAAAAACAATGTAAAATTTTGGAAAAAAATTCTCAATCTGGATCACTATTTGTCAAGATAAATTGATCTCCTTTTATTTCTACCTTTATAATTTAGATTTTAAATATCAAACATTTGTCAGTAACCTACCTACATGTAAGCACTACGAACATTTGTTGATGTTAATATTTTATAAAGTGTTTACAAACTCACAAATAACATATTTATAAAGCATGAAAGCTTTGGACAGAGTCTCAAGGCACAGTCGTGGAGAGGAGAGTGGCTGGTTTGAGAACCACAGAGTCTCATCTCTGCTATATACAGATGATGTGGTCTGTTAGCATTTTCGGGCCAAGATCTTCAGCACTGGGGTGGTTCGCAGTTGAGTGTGAAGCGGTTGGGATGAGAGTCAGTTTCTTTAAGTCTGAGGTCATGGTTTTCAACCAGAAAAGGGTGGAATGCCCCCTCTATGTCAGGGGTGAGGCTCTCAAATGGAGGAGTTTAAGTAATGGAGGAGTTTAAGTACTTGGGTGTCTTGTTCACGAGTGATGGTAGGATGGAGCGGGAAATGGATCGACGGACTGGGGCCTCATCCTCAGTAATGAGGGTGTTGCTTCAGTCAGTCGTGGTGAAGAAAGAGCAGAGTCAAAAGGCAAAGCTCTCCATTTACTGGTCTGTCTACGCTCCAACCCTCATCAGTGGTCATGAGGCGTAGATCGTGACCGAAAGAGTGCGATCCTGGAGACAAGCAGCTGAAATGAGTTTCCCTCGTAAGGTGGCCGGGCTCAGCCTTAGAGACAGGGTGAGGAGCTAGGGCTGCTGCTCCTCTGCATTGAAAGAAGTCAGTTGAGGTTGTTCAGGTATCTGATCATGATGCCTCCTGGACGCCTCCCTTTAGAGGTGTTCAAGGCCCGTCCCACTGGTGGGAGGCCCCAGGGAAGACCCAGGACTTGCTGGAGGAATTATGTCCTCTCTGGCCTGGGAACATCTTAGGGTCCCCAAGGACAAGCTGTAAAGCGTTGATGGGGAAGAGGAATGTCTGAGTTTCTCTCCTGGACCTGTTGCCTCCACGGTCCGACTATGGATAAGTGGCATAAGATGGAAATGGAAATAAAGCATGAAAATAGTTTAGGCTAATGTTTTCTAAAGGGAGTTATTTTAATATTTTGTGAAAGCTGTTGTGTCACAGATTATTAATGTTTCTCTCTTTTCTCTTTCTTTTTTAAAATAGCGGCGGATGGCGTGCCAGTTCAAAAGGATGGGGAGCAAGTAAGTCTTCATTTATCTGTTCTTCAGCTTGTCTTGTTGACTTTTCTTTGTGAAAATAGACTGTCTTTAATACACCCGAGAAACAAACATGGCTACTTTTACACTGTTCCTACTAGCTGTCTGTAGCTCCTAGTGTTATGTGTTCATGTTAGATTAGAAAAGCAACCCAATTCATGTCAAGCTTCTCAACTTCTACGACACATCCAACACCCATCTATGATGGGTTTTGCACCTGGAAGACTGAGCTTTCACTGGTTAGGTTGGCTCATAGCTGGTGTTTGGAGGTCCACTGCTTTTTACCTGTTTGACTAGATTATTGCTCAAACAGCAGAGGCATCACTCTTCTTTCTTTAACCTTTTACACATCATGATTACTGTATCTCCACCTCCTCCTCCTCTGTCCTTTCCTTCAATACTAATTCCTCTGAGGTAGGACACAGGAGAGGGAACCATTTTTGGACTAGTGTACAGAACTCAGCTTTTCCACCAAATGCACTGACATCATTTATTTATGCACCGTGTCCCAGAATGCCCTTCTAAAAGCAAAAGCAGCCACACTCACGCACACACACTCATGCACACACACACACGCACATACACTTTATATTCAACATCGTCAGGACTATTGGAAAAGAACATTGGTAAACTTCAAGGAGCTCAGCTCCACCACTCGAGTGTACTAAATCTCTCATCACTCCCACTCCTGTGAAGGGAGGAGACGAAAGAAAGTCAGAGTTCTAGAGAAGGGAGGTAGTGGGAGCAAAGAATAGAATTACAAGAACAAATAAGGAGACAGGAAGAGACTAATATCGATTAACAACATGGAGTACATGTTGCATGCAGTTGATAGAAACTGCTCTGTTATTGTTTCTTTTGTTATCTAAGACTAAAATGCATTCTCTTTACATATTGGCCTGGAAGTTTTATTTGATTTACACAATAAAATGTACACAGAAAATAGAATCTGTAATTATATATGTCCTGGAAAATAATTATATGGTGTAAAATTTTGCTGTCATAATCCAAAGAGAAAATAGTTAATCAGGCTTTGTTCAAATGCAACTCTATATGTGTATGCATGTACATACGTACGTACGTGTGTATTTTGGCTCTGTAGTACACTAGTTGAACTAATATTGTTCCCTCAAAGCAGATAGCTAGCAAACTGCCTTTAAACTGAAACCTTATAGTTATCTATCTATGGCGTATTGCTATGATAGCCATCTATCTAGCTATCTATAAAGTTTTATACAATGAGGTATATTGATGCTGGGTTATAATATGACTTTTCTTGGTCAGAGAGAGTGCCATATTGTTAGAAGTGAGGACAACTAATAAGACAATGTTGTTAGCTAGTGAAGCTGAATGTGGTAAACTCTATTTGATATTGACAACCATTACTTTGATTTGCTAGACATGCTTGTCAGAATATATTATCATATCAGGCATGTTGTCAAGGTACACACATCTGCAATGAATGATGTTTCTAATAGGCACAAGCTAACCAGTGAAAAACTATTGTTTCTATGCAATTCTATACAGAAATCGAACCCTGATCATTTGCTTACATTCCAATATGGCGTTCTCGTACCACAGCAGTCAATCCTCTGAGGCATGCATGACACCTCTAGTCAATATACCTCAATGGTTTTATTTGGCATTGCTAGCTAGCTTTAGTAGCTACAGTGTTTACTAGCTGTGGTCTTAAAGCAGTTAGCTAGCTAGCTGCTTCGATGAAACAATGTTAACTACTGTACCACTGTCACGGAAAAACACACAAAACTCTTATAATCCTAAATCATGTTTCACTGAGCTAAAGTAGAACTGAAGAACACATTTTTCTTGTTCCTGTCACTTATCTCTAAACTTCACAGGAGCTTGGAATTACAGTAATAATTCCAGTTTTATAAGGTTTATGCAAGATTTGTTCTTGMACAGTAAGAAGTTTCCTTGAGTGTTGGTTTTTAAAGGGTGAAATAATTCCGTGTGAAATATCCCTTTCCCCTCATTCTCGAGGAATTATAGAGTCAAGTAACAGACCCCATAATCTTTACTGTATGAAAGACTTCAATCTTCTGAATTTAAAGCGTGTTGGGTTTCAAAGTAAATTGGGATTATTGTATACTTGAGGACTTATGATCTTATCTTATTTCTCCACTGTAATATGCAAAAATTAACAGCAACAACAACCCCTTTATTTATTTTTTTTGAAAAAAAAAAATAGAGTCATGCAAAAATATAAAATTTCAAACCCTTTTAACTCATTTCTAACCCAGTCACACAAGTAAAGGTTTATAATGAAACTTGTTTCAAACAATTTCTCCATGTCAGATCTAACCCTGGGTAATTTAAGTCCTGACATGAACCCCGTTAAAACGAATAGGCTACACATTCTCTCACTTTAAAGCCATTTATTTTTATCTCCAACTTTATGCAAAATGAATGTGCAGCGACAGCGGTGGGGGTCCTGGCTCATGCTGAACTATGTTAAGTCTTTTCTTTCAAACTTGCAGGAGGTTTGTCAGTTGAGTAGCCTACACAGTCCTCAAAAGTAGTCCAGGTTGTATTTGGCATTGTGTGACCCAGAATGAATGTGGTTTGTTGACTGATTGACCCAAGTACATCACATAACTTGATTTAAAACATGGTCTCAGATTCTAGTTTCAGATTTCTCTTTTGTAAAACATGACATTAACTTTCTTTGTTAAAATTAAGTTTAGTGTAAAATAAGACAAAAAAGCAGTGTGACTTTATATGCCTGAATTGGCATGGATAGTGTCTTCTGGATGTCAGATCCACTCCTTATTTGTCACGTTTATTTTGTAACAAAATCTAGCAAGTGAAGGCCAAATGCCAAACTCTGGGCTTCAAAACAAAAGCATACACACAAACTGTTGAGGTCACACACTGACTATGAAACTGCCTGCAGATTGCAGCTTCATGTGAACTGATCAGGAGTAAGTGTGTGTTTACTGAAACCATCGAACTATTTCCCAAAGTGCCAAACAATCTGAGAACTACAGCAATTCAGTGAACTGGTTTCCAAACTGAAAGCTTAGAAGGAATATTTCAGATCTGTTGAAGCAGATCTGTGGAAAGATGAAGATTATGAAAGATAAAACAAAACTGAGGCCATTCAGAGAAGCATCTACACCGTGGGAAGAAGACATTGGCAACGATATGATATAAGCGACACACCAAAAGACAACTGTCAGTACCTCCACAACTGACACTGGTAACGTGCCACATTATTTACTTACAACAATCATTGACTCAACTAATTTATTTAAACATCTAATTTCTTAAAAGAGTCTGAAAGGTTTTAATCTCAGCTGTCACAAGGAGCTGACTAGCACTCTCCCATCTCAGGTTCTCCTGTAAAAGTCTTGTGCACCACATTGAGTTTACACATGCTAGCTCTCTAAGGGTGTACAGTAGGCCTTAAACAGAGACTTCTTCACCTCATCAGTACAAACACCAAACCTACAGATAAGCATGCTAGCCTGTGCATACAGCAGGCAGCACTGCCTATAAATATCCTCATCATCAGTTAGGTCTACAGTGACAAAATGGTCAAGATATTAAAATTTACTACACACAGAGTATTTCTACACAATGAAAACAAGGGAAATTTTAAACCTTTGTCATCTTTAATTCTGCTGATCATGATGACACTTTTACTGGCATTACATTTTATGTCATGTTCCATGCCGTACTCAGAACAAATATTTAAAAGCCTTCAGTCCGTGATGAATTTCTAAACTCTATCGACTTGGTAAAAATAAATGAATAAATAAAACACAACTCAACCACCTTCACTGTAAAAAATGAAATGTTGGATTTACTTAACCATGTTATGTTACYTGGTTCCACTTAACTGAGTTGAGTAAATTCAAAGCAATATACCAGTTTTTTAGCCAAAGAACATGATTATGTTGCTTTGAATTTACTCAACTCAGTTAAGTGGAACCAGGTAACATAACACGGTTAAGTAAATCCAACATTTCATTTTTAGAGTGTTGGTTTTCTTGTTTAGTTTGCTGACAGCATGATGAATCATTGGATATCCTCAGCTGGGAAGGATACTCAGATGCAGCTTTCATTTTCGGGATTTTGTGGGACACATTTGCTGGCCGCATGAGAAGGAGCTTACAAATTGGGGCAGCCTTCGGTGTAGGGCAGTGGTGTAAGCACCCTACAAATGCCAGCTGTAAAGGACGAAGCTCCTGAATTGAGACACAGGCATAAAAACCCCAAAAGAAATATAAATTTAAATAAAGACAACCCCTCCTCCAAAAATAAATAAATAAACAAAAATAAAATAATATTCTTCATATGGTTTCCAGAGCACAAACCTCCAATTCAAAAGATCTAAACAAACACTTAACATTGCATCATGTATGTTCCAGTTGTGTTATTTTTACTCAGTCTGTACTGTCTGTCTGAGTGCATCAGCAGGAAGGTGAAAATGTTTCAGCACAGCTGATAGACCACAAATGCCTCCAGTCTAGTTTGTGTTGGCCCAGCTGATCCAGGGAAGAATCTGCTGTTTATCTGCTTTGTCCCCTCCCGGTTCCCTCTACACGCATAAACCCGTACACACTCCCCTCCCTCCTGTCGCCCCCAGCCCCTCGTCTATCTGTAGCATCAGATACAGATCAACACACCACTGACATCTCTCTCCAACCAGCACACAGTAATTCGCTGGCTTCCAACGTTCTTGGTAGCCCTTGTAATCGAGGAGAAAACTCATCTAATCCTTAACGTTTTCACTCTGCTGAACATAACTAAGCAAATAAAAAGTGATCCCTGCCTAATCCCCCTTCCTTCTCCCTGTCATTCTGGTTCTTTATTCCTCAATCCTGGAAATTCCTGTTTATTTGTCACTTTGTTTTTTTTTCTTTTCTTTTATCTTTCTGCACACCTCACCTATAATTTTTTCATCTGCATGTTTGATGTGAAATCAACTCCCACTTCCCCATTTGATGCACATCCTGTCCATCCTGTCACTCTCTCACTCTTTCCTGCTCCTTCCTTCCCCCATCCCTTCCTCCCCCTCCGTTTCTCTTCCTCAGCATGGACGTTCAGAATTTTCATGGGAAGGAATCAATGTAAGTGTCGTGGCATCATTCCTCCATACTTTTCCCTGTCTGTTTCTTTTGCCTGTTCTGATTTAAATCACCCTGTAGCAACCAGCTCCTTTTCCCCTCATGCTGTTGTCCCCCTCTCCTCCCACCCCCTCCTCCTCCCTCCTCAGCTTTACACTAGCCCCTGTGTTATGTCGTAGTGGTGCACAAACAGATTTTTTTTCAAAGCACTTGAACTAAAGATTTGGGTAATACAGCTTTTGTCCTTTGTATTAACCCAACATCTCCATCACTTCTCCTCTCCACTCACCCCTCTCTTTAATACATGCTGTGTCGATGTCTTTGTGTCCATGCTGTCCTTTTCTCCACACTCCTCCCCCGCTTTCCTCCTCCATTCCTCCCTCTTCTCTCCCCTCCAGCTGTCCATGGAGGACACCACATCCATCCTGCCTCGGCTCAAGAGGAACTCAAATGCCTATGGCATCGGGGCTCTGGCTAAGTCTTCTCTGTCAGGTGTGTCAGGTGTGTGTCTGTGCTGGTTCTGGTAAATGACCCCATGTTGACTCCGGACACTGGTGTCAGCATGGCACCCTAAAAAGGGTTCCCGTTTCACTTCTTCCTCACACTGACATTATCAGGCGACAATGTTTCCCCAAGAGGCATTGACGGAGCAAATTCAGCTTGCAATTCACACTTCAACACACACACTCATCATCATAAAGATTGTTACTTTAAAGGGAAGTGAGTGGGAAGTGTAGCTTTTTTATGTGAAGTGGTTGTGAGGTTGTTGTGTCCTAACTTCATAATTATATAATGAATGTTTAACCGTGTATAGTGTTGTGTTACAACAGTCAAGTGCGGTACTTTCAGTGTTACCCGGCTGTTTTGTGCAGTTTATTTGGACTTTGCAGCACAGAGTAGTGAAGTGCAGCTGTTGTTTTGTGTGGTGCTGATTTGTCCAATGATTTATTCATAAATCTCATCCCCATGCATCAGAAGGGGGCTCGAACGGCAGGCGAGTTTCAGTTTTTGTCATCATATGTTGGTCACACGAAAACTAGAACATACCGGGTACGAGCAAACCGGTGTTAGCACGGCAGCTTGGAAATTAATGTCTTCCCTAAGAAAGTGTAAGTTCAGCAGTGTTGAGTTTTCAGACAAACAGTGCAGAGAAGGAGAACAGCTTTCTGCTTACCCAGCGCAGCGTAGCAGAGGTGTGAGAAAGAAAAAAAAAGCTCTCGTGTCAACAAGCCAACCTCTCATCAGTCACGCCACGCAGCCGCCTCACCCCAATTAACCCACTCCATCCCATGATGCACCTGTGTCAGAAAAGACACATCCACAGCCTCCTCTCTTCCATGTAATGTGAGCAGGTGATGTCTCATTAAACACATAAATGTCGCCTGCACAGCCCCAGTCTTTAGCTCGTCTTATTATCCACGCTCATCCTCATTGACGCATCTGATCAGTGGGATTTGACTGATAATCTTTTTGTTTATCTTGTCTAACTGGAGCTACAACCAGAGTTAGATTAGTAAAAAAAAACAATCTTATAATTTCTTGAAGGGAAAGATATCAGATTTTATATCGTATAGTCGAATCTCGGATTCAGGAAGAGCAGTGTGGTTTTGGTCCTGGTCATGGAACACTGGACCAACTCTACACCCTCACCAGGGTCCTGGAGGGTGCATGGGAGTTCCCCTAACCAGTCTACATGTGTTTTGTGGACTTGGAGAAGGCGTTCGGCTGTGTCCCTCGGGGACTCCTGTGGGGGGTACTCCGGGAGTATGGGGTACCGGGCCCATTGATACGGGCTGTTAGGTCCCTGTATGACCGGTGCCAGAGCTTGGTCCGCATTGCTGGTAGTAAGTTGGACTCATTTCCGGTGAGAGTTGAACTCTGCCAAGGTTGCCCTTTGTCACCGATTCTGTTCATAACTTATGTGGACAGAATTTCTAGGAGCCAATGTGTTGAGGGGATCCGTTTTGGTGACCTTAGGATCACATCTCTGCTTTATGCAGATGATGTGGTCCAATTGGCTTCATCAGATTGTGATCTTCGGCTCTCACTGGAGCASTTCGCAGCCGATTGTAAAGCGGCCAGGATGAGGATCAGTGCCTCCAAATCCGAGACCATGGTCTTGATCCGGAAACAGGCAGGTTGCCTTCTTCGGGTCGGGGAGGGGGTTCTGCCCCAAGTGGAGGAGTTTAAGTATCTCGGGGTCTTGTTCACAAACGAGGGAAGAATGGAGCGGGAGATCAACAGGCGGATTGGTGCTGCATCTGCAGTGATGCGGGCACTGTACCGGTCTGTCATGGTGAAGCGAGAACTGAGCCAGAAGGCAAAGCTCTCGGTTTACCGGTCAGTCTACATTCGTACCCTCATCTATGGTCATGAGTTTTGGGTAGTGACTGAAAGAACGAGATCGCAGATACAAGCAGCTGAAATGAGTTTCCTCCGCAGGGTGTCTGGGCTCTCCCTTAGAGAAGCTCGGTCATCCGGGAGGGACTCAGAGTAGAGCCGCTGCTCCTCCACGTCGAGAGGAGCCAGATGAAGTGGCTCGGGCATCTGGTAAGGATGCCTCCTGGATGCCTCCCTRGTGAGGTGTTCCGGGCATGTCCCACTGGGAGGAGACCYAGAGGAAGACCCAGGACACGCTGGAGGGACTATGTTTCTCAGCTGGCCTGGGAACACCTTAGAATTCCCCTAGAGGAGCTGGCCCAAGTGGCTGGGGAGAGGGAAGTCTGAGTCTTTCTGCTTAGGCTGCTGCCCCCGTGACCCGATCTCAGATAAGCCGCAGAAAACGGACGGATGGACGCATATCAATTGATGGCTTTCAGACCAGAGTTTTCAATCGCAACTGTTAAACCAGTTTTAGTCAAACTTTGAAGAAGAAACATTCAATGTAATGTTGTGAGATCTTGCAGGATGTTTTAGTGCTCAAAGCAAATGTTTGGGATCACTCTTAGTGACTGCCTGAGATATAACCACTTCTCATCTAATCACAGCCTCCTGTTGTTCAAACAGTTTATCAGTCTAATCCTTGATACTTTCATCGGCCATCACACTTTTCATACTTCAGCAGCAATAAATACACGATAATAACTTTTCTACCTTTTGTCTGTCTTTCCCCTTCTTTCTTTGTCCTTTTTCTGTCTTTCAACCTTCATCCCTTCTTCTCCTTCTCTTATTTTATTCATCAACCTTCAATTGTTCCCAAAACCTTCTTCCATCCCCACTCCCTCTGTTCCCTCCTCGATTAGGGGTGACCCGCACCATGAAGGAAAGAGTAACCAAACCCACGGCCATGGCCCAGGGGCGGGTCGCCCACATGATCGAGTGGCAAAACTGGGGCATGCAGACGGTTGGCTCAGGGGGCCTACCCCAGTCCCGCATCAGCACCCAGGAGCGGGAAAAAGAGAGGCGGCTGGAGAACGACGCCTACAGTGACCTCAGTGACGGCGAGAAGGAGGCTCGTTTTGCTGCAGGTTGGAAAACAAACACACACACCTGGCAGAGACCAGGAGCATGACCGAACCTGTGAACTGTCATCAGCAAAAATAACACGCATTTTTTTTTTGCTCATTATTTTTTGGGATTAATGCCAAACATCCAGCCAATTGAATCCAGTTTGACGAAGGTGTTTGCCCTGAACAGGATTTGTCCTTTGCATTCTGACCTCAGGTGTGCTGCAGCAGTTTGCAATCTCAGAGGCAACGCTCCTGGCGTGGTCCTCGATGGACGGTGAGAGTCCGCGGTCAGGTTCGAACCAGGGCAGCGTAGCTCACCTGAGCGAGGTCAACCAGGAGAGCATCACCAGTCGAGGTAAAAGTCTGCAAGATACAACAGGAAGCAGATGGTGCAGAGGCGGTGATCACAAAGATGACAAGAGAGAGGAAGCCACTAGACACGAAAACAATGTTTGGAATATTTCCACAATTAATTTGTGTCATGGCTCTGTTGTCCAGTGGGCGAGTTTAGGTCAAAGATCAGAATCCTTCTAATCAAACAGCACAGAGGCCAGCCTTTGATTAGCCAGGGTTTCTGGTAATTACAGTTACGTAAATGTCCACTATTTTAAAAAGTTAGCTATGTTATTGTTTTTAAACACTGTAAGTGTTATAAAACAGAGTTTAGTTTATTTTCATTTGAAAGTGTTATTTCAACAGTAACCTTATCTGAACGTCTCACTCCAACTACAAAACAACCTCACCTGCAGCTAAAACCACTGCTGTTTTAAAGATGTCTAATCCTAGAGGTGCGCAGCAAATAAAAATTTATTATCAGATCATTTCACTTAATTTGAGTCTGAATCTTCACAAATTAGGTAAAATAATATGCCAATGGAATACGACTTCTTGAAATAAGGAGAATTTCCAAGCTAACAAGATTAATATTCTGACATATTCTTGCTTATTAAATCAGTCTCAAAACAAGATTAAAAAGACTTGTTGGCTTAATATAAGATTGTAAGACTTTACATTGTACATTTAGACAAATTTAACAAGAACAAAATCAAAAGTCTTATGTGGGGCTTCAACTTAAGCTCTCTGATTTTATAGTTTTTCTAACCATCTGCTGAGCTAACCAGTTATGAAAGTGCACTACACTCCCATAATTGACACTTCCAAAACTAAAAACTTTTATAAAATGATGGATGCAACCTTAAAAAGAGAATCTGAAGATTAAATGAGGGGTGGGGTGTGGGACATTTTATTATTATTAATTATTATTATTATTATTATGGGTTTTATTACACACCTGCACCACCACCACGGTTTTAAATTAGATTTTCCTCCAGGGAGAATAAGAGAAAAAACAGTTTTAAAATCAAGTGTGAGCTCTACAGCTTGACAAGGGCGATGACTCAACAGGGTAAAATGTGACAATCTGTAGACTCTTTTTCAGTACAAACTGAGAAGCTTTTGTCACAACATTTCAGTCAGTTTTTCATTTAGATGTTTGTCAAAACAACATCTAAACCAGCAGGAGTAGCTGAAATTGTTTGGTACTGGAGGCWAAAATTGTAACTTGTCTAGTATCATTCTAAATTAAATGCAATTTATTTTGAAGGTTTTTCTTCACAAGTCAGACTTTTGTGCTTTTTGTCTCTGAATTACACCCAAATCACAAAGTGTTCCTGCATCAGTCACTGAGCACTAACAGTAGCTGCTGGGTTGTTAACTCCTTGCAGATCAGATATTACATCATTCCTCTGCAGACGTGTGGCCCCACACGTACGTCTCCCAGGGCCACTACTGCCTCTCCTCCTCTGATGCCTGGGAGCCGACTAACAACGACCCCTCCGGCGGCGGCGGCRGCGGCAGCAATGGCGCTGTGACTTCTCCCCCCGCAGGCTCCTACGTCATGGGGACAGAGGGCTACGACGGGCAGGCGGCGGCTCACTTCCTGTCTCAGCAGCAGCAGTACAGCCTCCAGCAGCAGACTCAGCTGCAGCAGCTGCAGCAGCTCCAGCAGCTCCAGCACTACCAGCAACAGCAGCTCCTGCAGTATCAGCAACAACAGGTGATTGATGCAGAGCAGGTGGAGTCTCAGTGGTGAGCGTGGGCCTCTGCCAGGTTGAACATTAAGCACTGAGATACTTTATGAGGCTTGGATTTCCTCCAAGTCACCATTATGAAGCATAAACCAGCAGCAGCGGGCCTGAAATGAAGAACTGGTTTAAAAATAGTCAGACAAAGAGTTCATGTTTGTTCACAGAACTGTCCTTCATGTCTTCAGGTGAAAAAGTTGAGCCTGGAAGATTTATTGAAGATGAAATCTTTGCTAGACATTTATTTTTTAAACAAGACTTCTTATTTCTACATCATAATGCATTTTGATAAGCAGGTTAAAGGAAACACATCATGCTACTAAATGCATCTTGTTGTGGAGTCTCTAGCAGTGTAGAAAAGTTTAATTTAGTTTCTCCTGGTGCTGCGTAGATATCTTTATATTCTGTTTGAGTCATATCCTTCCACCCATTCAATTTACTCTATTTTTTTGACGTTCTCTGAACTATTACATCACAGAATTTGCTGTGAGTTATGATTTAAATGTGAAAAAGAAGCAGGAATTTTTCTCCTTTAAAGATTAACTAAATATCAGATTATTTTCACCTCCATCACATTTCCTGATGCTCGTCCCCTCTTGATGTTTCCAGGCCTTGGAGCACAGGATGCACAGCGCCAACCACTCCTTACAAGCAACGCCCAACAGCACCATCCACAGTCTGGTTCACCAGGTTCACCCTCCTCTGGTGGATCTGTGGAACGTGGGCCAGTTGGAGGCCTATCAGGCAGAAGCYGGGGGCTACATGGGCGTGGCGGCGGTGGTGGAGCCGAGCCTGTGCATTCCCCCCGGAGAGGAGATGGTGGGGGCCGATCACTCGCCGCTACTGGAGCAGCAGGAGGAGGAGCAGGTCAAGGTGAGGTTCAGATTCTAAACTGGGTTATTTATTATTTAGTATTTAATATTTGACTTTAGTTTTTCTTCAGCATGCTCTGTGATAGACCTTCAAATTGAGTTTATTTAACCTGATAGTTTCACAGCTGTTTGTTTTGCAAAATTAATCAAAGATTGAGTTCTGATTTTTGCTGAAATTATGATTCCAACTTCAGCTGGCATGTAGACTGCAAAATGAATTTCCTGACTTTTCTTTGTGCGATCTGTTGCTTCTGTCCTGACCAGGAGGAAGMTGTGGTGCTGTCCGTGGAGCCAGATGCGGCCACGTTGACTCCGCCCACGCAGCAGGGGGATGCCTCAGGTGGCAGTAGTCCGGGGCAACCTCCCGCAGAACCAATCACAGAGCGGAAGGCCTCCGATGTCACCTCTGGCCTCATTCAGACTCTAGAGGAAAAAGAGGAGGAGGACGACGAAGAGGAGGAGGAGGCGGGGCCGCCCACCTCCATGGCAACCAATTGAAAAACTCCTGATTCACAAACTGACCCGTTAAGTCAGCGAGGAACGAGCAGAGTGCACCAACATGTCTATTAATCTGTTCCCCTTTTTCAGGTATCAAAACCTTTTTTTGGGTTGGGATTCTTTAAAAAAAAACGGTGAGCAACAGATTTGAACGTAGACTCACAGCGAGACAACGCTCATGCAACAAAGGACACCTATTTCTTTGTAAGCCTTACATCCCAAAGGAACGAAAAGTAGATTGAGAGCAAAGGAGAAGAGGAGGAGGAGGAGGAGCACCAACTGACTCAAACATTTCCATGTGGAGGAAGAAAACAGACTGTGATGAAGAGGAGGGGAAAGAAACATGCATGCTCTTTTCAGAAACAGGCACCTCGATCAAGTCGTCGTCTTATAACAACGAGAAAAATCGAACGTAAATCCACACAATAAGAACTGTTTTGTAATAAAGCAAATAAAAAAAGTCAAAAATCTATGTATACGTGTAGAAAACGGTCATGCAGGTTTCCAACCGGGGAGCTGCTCTGTTTACAGCTGTTTTTTTTTGTTGCATCAGTCTGCTCTAATTAAATCAAATCTGAACGATCTGACGGACGGTTGAAGTAGCCTCCAAAAATCTCAGCRTTTCAGTGAAATGTTGTGTGAACACCCCCCACCCTGCTCCCCCCTCTCCACAAGTCATCTCTTCTGTGACATTGTGAAGGCACAGCCAGGAGACACGCCTGCTCTGCAGACCGCACACACACACACCGACCCCTGCACAGATTGTACTGTAACATAGTGTGCTTCCTACTCTCTCTGTATGCATGCATTTCAGAGTACCACGGAGTACCTGTACTATACAGCACTAAATAGACTTTGCACTGAACCCTTAAATCCCACGTGTGAGCCTGCGGTGAGTGGTGGAGCCCCCCCCCCCCCAGTTTGCACTGATGCAATCTAACCCGATCAGAGTTTGCCTTTGAACTGCAGGCGCTGCAAAGTTCAGAGACGACCAAAACCGAGCCACCCAACAAACCCAAACCTTCAGCTGCTTTCTGTTGTTTTCTACAGGTCATGACACATTAAGGTCAATAACCACTACTTTTGAATGTACCGGAGGATGGAGGACAAGTGCGTGAACACTGTAGACGTGTCCCTGTGGTCCACATGAGAGGATTCAGCACCGAAGAAACAAACACAAAGAAAGGGGTCTTTCCCAAACGTGGAAAAGGGGATTCACTGCTGACACATAGATGGACATGACACACACAAATATCTAAATTGTAACCAGCAATAGACAGACAAACACTGGTCCCCTCCCCTCCAACAGACCAGTGTCAGCTCTGTCATATAAATGTAAATAAAGTATATAGAAATTGCCTCTCGCTCACAGTCACAACTGTTCGATTACAGTTTGATTTCTTTATTTTTGTACGCCTCGAGTCCCACTTTATTTTGGGATTGCTCTCAAAGCTTTGCAAGTTTTTGTTTTGTTTTATTTTGTTTAAAAAAAGAACACAGAGATGAAACATTTGAGCAATCGATCAAAGCGAAGGGTGTTTGAGACCCAGCGAGTCCATCAATAAAAGTACAGCGGCAACAGGTTGAGGTCAATCAACCAATCAGGTAACAGAACCGAAGACTGAGACCGAACACTGGAGGAGAAACTGGTTGGTGTCTTCCTGCTCATCGTTACTACTGTGAAGCAGCTGCCTGGACGTGTGAAAGTGAAGCCGACAATGTTTTATTTAATTTTAATTTTGTATGTTTTCTCGCATCGAAGGCAGAGTTGGTGTTTCCCAGCGAGAACTGGAGTTCTGAACAGCAGAAATGGACTTCCTGTGCATGACTCACTTTACAACAACAGTACAAGCTACTGTTTCACAGGTTCTCTGCTGGGGAGCACCTCCTCTTACTTCAATGACTGTGTGAGAAACTCTGAAGAGTTATGGTTTATTGACTTGAATGAGTTTTATCGATTGCTTCTTTATGCAATGATGGGGACAATGTTTATTTTTCTACTGACATGTTGAAATCCCTTCCGGTATAAGTTGGAATAGGTGCCACGGATGTAAAGCCATCTTGTTTTGGTTTGGCTTTGAGCTCTTTGTGCGTAGAAAAAACAAAACAAAAAGAATATAGATAATCTGGCAGCTCTTAGTGTAAATAATCCTGTGTACAACCTCACTTCCTGAAAAGTTGGAAAGTTGTGTAAAACTAAAAGAATACAAAGATTAATAAACCCATATATTTTTCCACAATGGAACATAGTAAACTAAAAAATGAGAACAAATTTTTAGTAACAATAAGATAATTTTAGATTTTATGGTAGGAAAACYGCTAAAATAAAGTTACAACAGGGTCGTGTCACTGTGCTTTAACAGCCGTTTGTAAAGGTCCAGAAACTGAACTGAGGAGGTCAGCTGGTCCAGTTTTTGGATCAGAATTGTTTCTGGATGGGAGCACATGTTCTAAAACCTGTAAATACTTTTCTGCATCGATAGTGCTTTTCCAGACGTGCGAGCTGCCCATGCCAGAGGCACCAATGCACCCCTATACCAACAGAGAGGCAGGTTGTTAAACTGTGTGCTGAGAACAGATTTTAAAAACTGAACTGTGACCTCTGTTCACACACTATGATTTGTGGAACTGTTCCTGACCCCTGCACTCGTGTCCAGAACAGAATAAGACTTGTCTTTAATGCAGCGGCCCCTGAGGGCCCGACCATCTAACACTGACTTTCAACCTCGTCCTTTGAGATCAGAGATTTTTGATGATTTCATAAACTGTAGAAGATGGGTTATTTAAAGTCTTTCCAATTTTCTAACGGTGAACATTACTTTGAAATTGTTCCACCATTTTTAGTCGCAGTTTTTTGCAGAACCACTGCCCGTCTTGTGCTCCTCCAGCCGTTTCCTCCTCATACTAAATATATTTTACAGCCTGTTGTGTTATTTCCCCTGGAAAGTTGTAAAACTTCTCAGTTTAAATGTTTATAATGTTTCTATTGTGAATAATATATGGGCTTACAGGATAATCAAATCTTTACTTTTAACTAGTGGTGTCCCGATGATACCGATACCAGCAATTTTACAAGTACTTGTACTTGTACAAGTATTGATACTCCATTCAGTGTGTTACAGTTAACATTTCAAGTGAAAAGTTTGTCAGTTCCATATTTAAGAAGGTTATACAAGTAGAAAGCATTTTTAATAAATGTTTTAACAGAATAAATTATGCTGTATATSTAATCTGATCCAGTTGGGGCTGTAGGCCTATAAAAAGAGCCATCTTCAGTAAGTACTCTGTATCGGTACTTGGTATCAGCGAGTACTCATACTCGGTTTGTGACAAACTGGCATCAGGACACCTCTACGTTTTACACAACATCCCAACCATCTCAGAGGTGAGGTTGTATTTGACTTCACGAGTTCCTGCAGTGACTCAGGAAGATCATTAAAAACACTCAACAGCGCTCAAAACCCTCAAACAGTGTTTTTTACCCGTTGGCACAAATTCGTTTATTTATTGAACAATTACTTGGTCGGGAGAAAAAATAAATAAAACTTGTACAGAACCTATAATTTCACATCATCCCTTTTTCTTTCTGAGTCGGAGACGCAGCGGAAAGATTTCCTGCTTTTATCTTTGTTCAAGTTCAAAACACCATCACAGCTTCTCTGGGCTCGACTGTTGAACAGAAAACAGATCTCGTTTCACGGGGAAGCACGCAGAAACACAGCTTCAGTTTGAATTATTTTGCTTCTTTCTTTGTCAAAGTTTGTTTATCTGAATCTCAATGAATGAACAAGCAAACATGAAGCCAAATATATTTCTGTGGATGTTAAGGTTCACTGCTCGTGTCTTGATCATGAGTTTCTCTGTTTTTGTGTCTGTGTGTAATTTACTGCCATCTTCTAAAAGTTTCAGTAACTCGTCTTCAAAAATCTGCCTCCTGTTTTCTGCCTTTCTGTCCTTCTTCTCTGTCTGTTCTGTAAACTCGTGTCTGTCTGTCTATCTGTTTGTCTGTGTACAGTAATGAAATTGTCTGTTGTTTTAAATTTTCTTTTTTCTTTTTGGAAGAATCACTACCTGAAGTAACATGAAAAATATCAGTCAAAGTGGGGTTTGAAGCTCTTAAACAAATACTATATGTACAGAATTTGGAGTTGTGTGGCAAAAAAGAAAAGTTTTAATAAACTGCTGTATAAAATGCTGCAAAAATCAGATGGCTTCTGTAAAATTCTGCATAAAACTGGATTTGTTTTTAACGGAGGCAGAGTGACTGATAACGCACCTATGCATGCTTGTTGGATGGTTCTCGCGGGCCGGTTCTTCCACGTGGTTTCTCCTCTCCTCTCTCTCTGTTTCTTTCTTTCTTTCCCCTCCTGTTCTTGCACGACAGAGCCTTCTTCACTCTCTCCGTCTCCTCTTCTGTTTTTTCCTTCTGGTGGAGAAAGAGCAAAATAAACAAACCAACAAACAGCCTCTCCTTGTGTGTGCGCCTCTCTTCTTCCCAGGTTGTAAATAATTATTTTCCTGCAGGTTTACAGCTGGGTTCTCCTGAGCTTYAACACATGTTAGGAGTTGTTTGTTTGGTGGCTCTGGCTGGCACATTTGTGCTCGACAGAAGAAAATAAAAATACAGCAGTCACAGAGGAACGAGCTGCAGCGTAATCTAAAACCCTCTCTCTCTCTCTCTCTCTCTCTCTCTCTGCGGCCCTTATCAGGACTTTTTATGCATGGAGAATAATAATGACAAATGCTGGTGGACAGACCTTTTCTATTGGGACTAAACGCTTATTTGTTTGAGCTCACAGAGGAATCAGAGCCTAAACACATCCTTGACCTTCACAGAGGAAAAAAAATGTTTATTCGCTCTAAGGTTGTTTCCTTTCAGATTAAATGTTGGAACAGATGTGATGTGTTTTAGGCACATTTTGTTTAGTATATTTTAATACCTTTCTATTTCATTTTCTGTTGGCTTTCATGTTTAACAGAAGGTAAATAATAATGTCACACATTAAGGAGCACAAGGCTGACAGGTTCGAAAGGTAATTCGCACAAAACATTTGAGATAAAATGCTGTTAGCACAAACATGAGTGCTGTTTTACGTCCTGAAATGGCCAATTTGTCAAAATCACAACATAATCTCTCCGCGGGGGGAATATAACAATTACAGGACTGTGCAAAAATGCTGAGTCACTCCTCATTTTTTATATGTTGTTTTCAAGAAGGAGGGGGAGGATTCCAGTTGATTTATTTTTCTACCTGTTATTATTATTGTTGTTATCATTAAATTAATTTTCCCTTTCAATGAGCTTCCTTCATTGGGTGACCGGACTCAGGTTTAGAGGGTGAGAAGTTCAGAGTACAGAGCCTCTTGAGGTGGTTCAGACATCTGAGCTCCTGAGCATCCCCACCTTTAGAGGTTTTCCAGGCWTKTCCCACTGGGAGGAGACCCCAGGGCAGATCCAAAACCTATTGGAGGGAATATATTTTTACCCCTGCCTGAGAACACCTTAAGATCCTTCATGTGGAGCTGAAGAGCGTCACTAGGAAGAGGGAGATCTGGATTTCTCTCTTGGACCTGTTGTCTCTGCAACCCAACCAACAGAAAATGAAGATGATGACTTGAAACCTATATATCTAAGGTCATTAAAAGGAGACACATTGTGCTTTTAAATCCTTCTTTTTTCACATTTAAATCCTTCAGTTGAGGTCTATTTAAGGTGGAACTGCAATGCTGTGGTCTGAATTCCTCCTAATTGGAACTTCACAAGCCCCTCCCCTTTTCTGGGTTGTGTCTCAGATCAATTTGTTTTGAGGCTGTCTCTTTAAATTTAAACAAGGTGTTTCACACCCCGCCCCCCTTCTAGCTTCAAGAGCGCTTTGTTCAATGGGTTTACGACTATWTAGCAGCACAGAAACTTTTTATTTACAAATTAATTAAAAGATGTCAATAAGGGAAGACTTGTCAGTCCAGCCTGACCCAGAGCCAAACGAGAATGAAGACCATCAAAATGATTACTTTGTAAGTCCAGACCTTATATGGCAGTTCTGTTACAAATAATTTGATGTAATAGAAAATAGAAAAAACTTGAATGGGTTGAAAGACATGACTCAAATAGAAAATAGATACCTACGCAGCATGAGAAACTAAATTGAAAAGTTCTGCACTCCTAGAGGCTCCAAGTACACAACAAAATGTATTTAACAGCTAAAATCGTGGATTTCTCATATTCCCCCCTTTAAGGTGACATATTTTAACATAATAATCATGGACTACTAATTCAGTATTTTACAAGATTATTAAACTTTTAAATAATCATATAAAAGTAAATAATGTATTTATTTTTTCTTTAAAAATAGTGATGCAAAGTTTTGATTTAAAGCTAATTAAAAACTCTAATAATCCAAATAAGTTAATAGACAAGATAGAAATTTATTGATTTTTTAAAAATTACAAACAAGTATTGATGATTTAAATATTATTTATACAAGTGATATTTGATTCATTTAAATTCTTATTTTAAAGTCGCTTCAATCAGTAAACTTGAAATGCTTAAAATGTGTGACCTTTAGGCCAAATGAGTCAGTATCATTTCATGATGTACAGGTCATTGCTGTCAGAAGCTCACTTGTAATCAATGAAAGTGACTGATTTTGATTCTTATATTGATCATTCAGCTCAGGCGCGTGTGGAGACAGAACATCAGGACTGGATGAAGCTGTCTGCAGTTCAGGAGAGACAGAAAGGCACCTGAGATTTAAAAAAACAAAACAAAGGTGAGACTCTTGAGAAAATAGAAAAAAAAACTATCCTGGACTAAAGGTTTTAAGAGCTTTGTGTTAAGCAGCTGATCCTGCCGGCTGAGAGTCTGTGAGGGGGCTGCAGGAGGCCCGACTCCTCCTCCCAGACTGCGGCTCTGTCTCCGGGCAAAAGGAGTCAAATCAAAACCAGAACCCCGGTCCCTCTTATAAAGGCTCATCGGACTCCTCGCTCTCCCGCTCCTCCTGCAGGGAGGACAGCGTCAGGACAGGGCTGGTGTGTGTCACAGGGGAGGCAGGGGGTGAAGACGAGGTAGGGGAGGAGGTGGAGGGGGACGCCGCCTCCTGAGGGTCCCCCTCTTCTCCTCTGGCATTGGCAGAGCTGCCGGGAGAGGAGGGAGCCGTCTCAAACCCAGGAGCTCCTCTAAAAGACGGAGTCTTTCCCCAGGAATCATCCYTGGACTCCCTCCTCAGCAGCTCGCTTTCCCTTCTGCTCCCCTCTCCCCACAGGTCTCTGTCCCGCGTGGGTGAGGAGGCGGCGGACGAGGGGGGCGGGTGCTTCTTGGTTTTCCTGCTGGCGTCTCTGAAGCTGGCCAGAGGTGGACGGAGCCTCACCCCGCTGCGAGTCGAGCCCTCGATCGCCTTCTGGAGCTGCGAAATAAATAAATAAATAATGAGGGGAAACACCTGCAGAAGAAAATCCCAAAGAAAGCAACTCGTGAGCGAGACCATATGTAATCAGAAAAGTGAACATCCAGCGAGCTCAGCCAAGCCGAGCGTAGTCGAGCTGAGCTGAGCAGCGTGAATCAGAGTGTGAGTGATGAGGCGCCGCAGCTGCCCACAACATGAGCTCATCGCTGCCACGCCACATCACCGCACCAACACTGAGGAACRTGACACAAACGTTGCAGAGAGGAAGGAAAAACACGAGGAGTGACTTTACCTCTTTCAGCGCCACGACTCCCACCAGCTTCCCGATGCTGGTGACGTAGGCGTGGCTGAGACCCAGCAGGGAGAACAGAGTGTGGGTCTGAGTAATGAGAAGGGAGGAGGACATGATCCAGTCAGCAATAAATCTGATGGGCTGTGACAGCATGCTGCCTGCATGACTGCGCTGCTAAACAATGTCTCTGCAGGTGAAGGAGGACGCACGCTGTGAGACACGCCTACTGACAGCAGCTGCAGCAGAGCAGGTGGAACTTAAAGTGCACTTCTCTCTAAAGTGCACTGAAGAATGTTCGAAACAGTTAAAACCTCTTCAGACCCAAGGGCTGTTCTTAGAGTTTGTTCTCGAAATAACTCACCTAAATACAACTGGGTGTGTCTCAGCATTTACAAACTCCACTTCATTAACCTTGGTTTCAAAATAAAGCTGATACTTGGAGATTTCATCAGAAGTGTAAGATCAAAGCAGCTGCTATTGTTTTAGAGACAGTGAGGGTAGAACAGAAAAAATATGATTTTTTTTGCATAAAACAATATATAATTATTTAAAAATATATAATGAATAAGACTAAAATCTCTTAGAAACCATAAATCCACATGTGGACATTGTCTGTGCAAAGATTCATGCAGCCAATGTAAACTAGAGCAAATTTAGAGGTTTTAATAAAGAAATAATTCAAAGTGTAGTCACTCTGCACAGGATGGACTGTGTTAGTAACATTAATAAATGTTAAGGAATCTTAGGTTTTTAATTACTGATTTTAAATTATGCCTGAAAAATCTTGTTTTTGAACATGTTTTTAAACTACCCACACATTTATTTTTCACCCTATATAAAACAAAAATAAATGATTGTATTTGACTCCAACTGGAGAAGATTTACTCAAAATCAAGTTTAAAAAAACTTTCAAAWCACTTTACAGCATATTTTGGTATTTGCTTTGACTTGAATTTCTAAAAACAGAAGTAAAAAGCAACACTTCTACAGATTTGTGTTGATGTAATTTTGTATTATTTGTTTACTTTCTGACTGCTAGCCGTTTTAACTGTTTGCTGGATGTAAAACATTTTTTTTCTTCATGAGCTTTTAGCCAAGATTTTGATGTTTCTGTGGAAACCAAACATGTCTATGTTTAAATGACAGACCTTAATTAACAGAAGTAGAGAGAAAAAGAAAACAGTAAGTGCAGTTCAGTCCCTGGTACTGGGGGCGTGGGGCTCAAAAGATTAATATCTTACCTTTTGTAGATAACTAATAGAACAGCCTTAGCTTTAAAAAAACAGAATTTAATTAAAATAAAACCAGACAAAATGTTGCAAAAACTGAAGCAGATGGAAGAGCTATCTTCACCAGGTAAGATATTCACTGTTCTATGAYAATAACCTTTCYAYAGAACCACACTTCARAGAGCTGAACATTGTGATTTATTAGCTAGCTAACAATGTAGCATAAGAGCAAGATTTCTTTTTGTTCACAATTTACAGTTTTATTAGAATTTTGAGCAGGATTACTTGTTTTGACAAGCTTCGGTGTGCTCCTCTTTAAAAACTCCACGATTCAAAAGTCTCCACTTCTAAGCAAATCTGCACTGTTTCAATTTGAATCTGTTTTTTTTCTTTACAGAAACACAGTTTCTGTCACAGTTTCACCTGCTGTAGATCAAAGATAAAACATCAAGAGCTAAGAAAACAGAGGCTGAGCTGCCTTTGATTCGAGCACCGGGATGTTCAGGGACAATAAAAGCCTTTGTTATTCTGTGCTCTTCCTCCCACACACAGCATACTTTAATACAGCAAAACTGTTTGAAAATTACAGTTCAATATTCTCTGCAGATGACAGAACGAACAATACAAACAAATTCTGCTGAAAACTTTCCTGAAACTTACAATAAAGCCCTGAAAAGTTTCTTCAGATGAGAGTTTTAGAGGAATAATTTTAGATTTGCAACATATTTTTGTAAATATCCATCTGAAAACTTGTGAAATCTGCTAATTATAAAGCTAACTAAGCTGTCCAAACAAGTAAACTCTGCCAACACGCTCCTCTGAGGTCACTCCATAAAAAGCAGACTCCAGATGGTTGTATCTTTTTCCTGGCGACATCAGTAACTGCTTTAAATTCAGCTAAAAGAACTACAGTTTTTGCAACATGCCAGTTTAGTATTTATTAAATGAGATACATCATAGGGTCTGATTGCATCAGGGGTCTTTTTAGCTTCAGACCAGTTTGTTTTTTCAGTCTTTCCAAATCKGTGCTTTTAGGCTACGAGCTGGCTGTTGCTTCATGTTGAAAAAATTATGYGAATGTCAATTTCCTAATATAACTGATGGCGGACGAAGATAAAAAGTATGACATGTCGCTGAACTCACCTTATGCAGAGATGTTCTCTCCACCAGCTGAAACGGAGATGGGTCGATGTGGATCTGCTCCAAATCCACCGGCTTGTCCAGCTCTACCTCCTCCCAGGCTTTGATCTGTGTCGGCCAATCAGAAGGCAGATACATGAACTCGGGTTAGACAGAGTTTCTGACGGTTTGTTGAATCGCTGCCGGCCATGTGGACGGTGGATCAGTGTGGTGCCGTACCTCCTCGGGGGACATGGTGTCAGCTAGCGGCGGAGGCAATGCTTCCTGAGGAAGAAAAGAAGAAACACACGGGCTGATTATTGAGCAGGTGATCAGCGACTGCACCGATAATAAGATACACCTGATAATTTCATTGTGCTGTTGTGATGTAGTTCTCCTCTCATCACACAGGTGAGCTCTCTGGACTGATACTGTGTCTGAGCTGTCACTGCCAACTCGACAGCACATCACTGCTGCTCAGCTCTTAGAGTCAAAGCGATGAGAGTGTGTGTGTGTGTGTGTGTGTGTGTGTGTG